GAGAAGCTCTTTATCTGTCCTTCAGTTTTAAATGATCGCCTTGCTGCATAGAGTAGTTTTGATTGTAGGTCTTTACTTTTCATCACTTTGAATATTTCCTCCAAATCCCTTCTGGCCTGCAAATGTTCTGTGGAGCTATCAGCTGGCAGTCTAATGGGAGTTCCCTTACAACTCACTAGTTGAGCCTTTCTCTTCGTGCTTTTAGGATTCCCTCTTGGTCTGTAACCATTAATTTTAATTATGATGTGTCTTGGTGTGGGCCTGTTTGAGTTCATCTTGTTTGGGACTCTCTGTGCTTCCTGGGCTTGTATGTCTGTTTCCTTCGCTAGGTCATGGAATTTTTCTGTATTTGTTCCTTCAAATTGGTTTTCAATCTTTTGCCCTTTCTCTTCTTCTTCTGGTATTCCTATGATTCAAATATTCTGTCTGATGTTGTCCCAGAGATCCCTTAAGCTATCCTCATTTTTTAAATTCTTTTTTTACCCCTTTTTCCTATTGGGTGTTTTCTGCTACCTTTTTCCAAATCACTCATTCCATCCTCTGCCTCGTCTATTCTGATGTTGATTCTATCTAATGTATTCATTTCTGGTTGGTTCTTTTTTTATGGTTTCTATCTCTGTGTGTATTTTCTCAGTGATACAGTCTATTCTCCTGAGTTCAGTGAGCATACTTATAACCAGGCTTTTTAATTCTTTATCTGGTTGATTGCTTGGCTCCTTTTCATTTAGTTCTTTTATTGTCCTTTTGTCCTGTTCCTTCATTTGGGACAAGTTCCTTTGTCTCCTCATTTACTTGACTCATTGTGTTTGTTTCTTTTTATTAGGCAGATCTGCTATGTCTCCCAGTCTTGGCAGGCTGTTCTTATATATTGTAGTATATGTCTGGTCTCCCTGGTCATCTGAGACAGGTGCTCCACGGTTGTCCCTTTTGTGGATTGTGTGTGCCCTGCTGTTGTTATTGAGCCTTGATTACTGTTGGCATGTCAGTAGGTGCAGTTGACTCTCAGGCTGACTGGCTGTGAAGACTGTCTGTTGCTATAGCTGACAAGGTATTGTGGGAGCACTGATCCCAGTGAACAGGATTTTCTTTTTTTTTTTTACTTTTTCTTGAAAAGCACAGATAGTAATGACATTTTCTTTTCTTTTTTTGGGGGGGGGGGAATTGGGGGGATGGGAACAGTGCTGGGGAACTGGGGAAAGGGGAACAGACAAGTTGCTGTCCTTTTGTTCTTCAGTCTAGTTGTGGAGGACGTTGCCTCACTGGCCCATGTTGGCACCATCATTGCGCTCCTCTCTGGCGAGGCAGATCAGTCACCGGCTTCTGGACGGCCGCTCACTGCGGCTGCTGGCCGCTCACGCTGGCTGCTGGCCACACACGGTAGCCCATGGCAATCCACTGCCACAGGGACTGCAGCCCACGCCGTTGCCGGCGACTCATGGCAGCCCAGCCCCAGGTTGAGCTGTTGTTCAGCATCCTAGCTGTGGAGGGCAGTGTCACTGGCCCTCATATGTGGGATCTGAACCGGGGCCCTCTGGCATCCCAAGCGAGCTCTCAACCATCGCGCCACTCGGCCGGCCCAAACAGGATTTTCTTTAGCAGGGTTCTGGTGCTTACTCTGTCTACCCTTTGAGTGTATAATTTGTGGAGCTATTTGGGTGGTGCTCTGGTGTGGTCTAATGCCGGCACCAGGTATATTGGTTCTGGGGCCTCTTGTGTGTGGGGGGGTCTCTGGTATGGGTCAAGTTCCGCCGCTTTCTGTACTTGGTCCAGGGCCACCTGGTAAAATCTACAAACTTAACTGGCTGTTAGCTGCCTATGCTGTGCTTGGAGCCTCCTGGGAGAGGCTATATTGATTCCAGCTACCACTTTGCAAGGCTTGGGCCACTTAGCAAGAGTTACAGGGCATGCCGAGGCTAGCCACTGCTTGTCTGGGGTTTATGGAACTTTGAGAGCTATTAGGAAAGTATGCAGTGCAGGTGGAGGCCAGCCACTGAAAGATGTTCAGTTTTGGGGTCTAGCTTGGTGAGGTGGTATCTCATGGAATCCTCAGGGTAGGACGAGCAGTGTTTCGCAGGTTAATGGAGACTCAGATTTGGCGCCTATCTTTGCATGCAGGCTGTGTGCGAGGAGGGCTCAACATAGGAACAGTGGTACCTGCCATCACTTCCGTCCCCCAGAGAGCTGCCCTTGCAGCTTCTCTGAAGCCAGACTATTTAATTCTTCATTGTATGTCTCTGGCACTTTTTGAGCTGCTATCCCTTTGCTGAATGAAGTTCAGGGCAAGTGTTTGTGAGTGCATGTGTGTGTATGCGGGCCCTTTTAAGAGGATGCCTGTATCTATAGCACCCCTCCATTTCACCCAGACAGAATCAGCACTGATTTTCATGGTCAGGTGTTGTGAGGACTCCTTGTCCTGGCCCTAGTGCTCTGGGTTGGGGAGCCTGATGTGCGGTTAGGACTTTCTACCCTCAGGGGCACCTCTGAGCTGAGATATCCTTCCCGATTCTTAACTGACATATGTAGGTGTGTGACTAGCCATTTCGTGATTCAGACCTTCCTGCCAGTCTTGATGTTGCTGCTTCTTTTATATGTTTAGTTATAGTTCTGTTCAGCTAGTCTTCAAGTGTTTTTCAAGGGTGGTTGTTCTATAATTCAGTTGTAATTTGGAAATTGTCGTTGGATGGGGCAAGCACAGTGTTTATCTAATCTGCCATCTTGACCATAACTCTAAATATATTTTTCTATTATCACTATGTATTATTTATTTTAGTCAGATTTTATATTCTGGCAGTGCTTCATTGTCTGAAAGGCTATGTTACCAAAAAAGTTGTATCAGTTTACTCAGTAAATAAATGGAAAATGCCCATTTTGCTATATACTTATAGTACTATAATTACATTTTCTTCATCTTTAATAGGTAAAAAGAATTGTCTTTGTTTTAATTTATATTTTTCTGACCACTGGTAAGGTTAAATATTTTTCTATATGCTTGTTAGTTCATATCTAATTTTATAAATTGCCTTCAGCAAATATTTGTTTTAAATATTAATCAGTTTGGTTTATCTTTTGAGCACCTACTTATCTTTTGAGTACTACTACTAGCACTAGCACTATACTACTACTACTACAATTACTACTGTGTTTTGGGCACTGAACTAGGTTAAAGGAGTATTACAGGAAATCATGTTATAGAGACAGATCAAACACACATATGTGCCACAATAGAGATAGATATAATTTGTTATGGGATCTTGGGTGATAATATTAACTACTCAATAATCTTAATTAATGTGTGATAGGCACTGTTCTAAGTGGTCTTTTGCTTATATTAACTTATTTAATAAACAACAAACCTATGCACTGAGTACTCTGGTTATCCACCATTTTTAAAGATAAAGACACTGAAGCAAAAATAGTTTAATTACTTTGCCACAAGTGAAAACGGTAGTAAATGATGAAACTGGCATTAAGCTCAAGGAGTCTGACTCCAAAGTTTATATTTTTTATTAGTAATCTATACTAACTGTATCACAGGTTTTTACGTTTTGGCTTCACAGAAGTGGTAGTACAGGTTGTTCATCTGTATTATCACAGAAATGTGAGTATGTTGAAATACTTTAAAACATATTCATATATTCCATATGTGTATAATTAACATATTTATTTTAATAATTAACCTGTGCAAGTGAAGAGTTAATGCAAATGTGTCTCTAGCCTCTTACTTTTTTATCCAACCTTCTGTCTCAAGTTCTTTTTTCCTTAGATGTGTATGCCTTTTTTTCCAGTTGCAAGAAATAAAAACCATAAAGAAATAGACTTTCTTAGCCATTACTGATATTTCAATGTAGGTAAAGCTATAGGTAAGCAATAAACATGTCAAAAAGTATCTTTTAAACTAATGTACTAAATTTAAGTAAAAAGTTAGCTGAGAGACATAAATCTCAGTTTTGCCAAATTGTTTTTATGTTAACACTCTAGGATGTGGTATGAATTTTGCTTGGAGGTATTATGTTGGCAGTTAAATAATTGATATGGTAATTATGTATGATAAAATAATAAAACATCATAAGCATTTAATCACTTGGTATTTTAGTATCAATATATGTATTGGGTAAAATGTCACCTCACTGTCCAAAAGATGACACATCTGATGTCTGTTGAACTTAAAAAGTCACAATCCTTTACTTACACATACACACACACACACACACACACACACACACACACTCACTCACTCTCTCGCAATTGTCATAAAATAGCAACATATGCAGATATTTGTGGCTAGACTATATAGACTAGTTTTGGCATATAATAGACATTCAGTAAATATTTGTTCAATGAATGAATAAATGCATTCTGTCTGTGGTTTTTATCTGATCAGTATCAACTTGTTAATAAGAAGGGGGAAAGGTGGATGTTTACAGATTTAATTAAAAGCAAGCTTCATGAGCATAATGCAACTTAATCATATTCTTTTGACTGTTTTAAAGGATTCTAATCAAGGATATCTTTTAAGAAATTCACATGCAGATGAAATACTTTTTTAACCCTCTGTCGGGCACAACAGGTTTCACAGATTGTTTTGAATTTCTGTTGATTTTTATACTGAATTTATGTAATAAACATATATTGTTTTTACTTTGTGGCAAATTAAAATTTCATTCTGGAGAAATAATAAGCATGCTTACACGTTATTTTCATTCATTTTCAATTTAAATAAGTAAATGTGATACACGCATCTAGTAGATGCATTGCACCTGAACTTTTGACTTTTGCATTGTGCTGGTCAGAGGGTTAAAGTACTTTTCTTATTAAGTATCTATTGGACTTGTGGTGAATTTATATGTAATACAATGAATTGCCCCATGATTAAAAGTTTTATTTTGCTATGCAAATGGAGTATATATAACCAGCTTTTAAATAGTGATCAAGGAATAGAATCTATTATTACTAACAGAAAAATATATATCAAATCCCTTTTTTTCTTGTTAAATGTTTAGGTGAAGGGAAGTGGCTCCGAAACATTGACTATTATCGTTTAGATGGTTCTACTACTGCACAGTCAAGGAAAAAATGGGCCGAAGAATTTAATGATGAAACTAATGTGAGGTAAGAATCCTTTTCTGTTTGTGTAGAGGTTTTTAAAAATCATTTTAAATCTACATACAGTAAAATTCACTCTCTTTAGTGTATACTTCTACAATTTTTGACAATGTAAGATATAGTCAAGATATAAAATGGTTTCATTAACCCTCAAGAAGTCAGTCATGGAATCATACAATTTGTAGCCCTTTGAGTCACTTCTTTCACAAAGCAAAATGCATTCTAGCTTCATCCATATTGTTATATCTGTCAATAGTGTTTCTTTTTATTGTTGAGTAGTATTCCATTGTATGGATGTATCATAGTTTATTTGCGCTAGAGAAACATTTAACTTATTTTTAGGTTTTGGAATTAAAATTGAAGCTGCTGCAAATATCCATGCATAAGTTTTTGTGTGACCCCTAGATTTTTACCCATGTAAAATGAAAATCCAGGAGTGTAATTCCTGGGTTGTATGGTAAGTCTATGTTTAGTTTTGTAACAAACTTCCATACAGTTTTCAGAGTAGTTATACAATTTTTCATTCCCACCATCAGTGTATGAGAGTTCATTACCCTGCATCCTTGTTAGTACTTGGTATTTTCGTGTTTTATCTTTTTTTAAATTATTTTACTCATTCTAATAGGTATGTAATGGTATCTTGTGTGATTTTAATTTGCATTTTCCTTATGATAATTGATGTTAACCACCTTTTCATGTGCTTATTACCCATTTTTATATCCTCTTTGAAAAATCTGTTATAAGGTTTTAAAGTTAGTATTCCTGATCTCTTATCTATTGTAGAAGTTTGAATCATATAGAGTTGACCCTTGAGCAATGTGGGAGTTAGTGGCACTGACTCTCCACAGAGTTGAAAATCCACTTGTAACTGTAGACTTCCCCAAAACTTAATAGCCTGCTGTTGACCTTACTGATAATTTAAATAGTCGATTAACACATATTTTTTATGTTATATGTATTATATACTATAGTCTTATAATAAAGTAAGCTACAGAAAGGAAAATGTTAAAAAAATCATAAGGAAGAGAAAATACATGTAAAAAATTCACACATGCAGTTCAACTCCAAGTTCAAGGGTCAACTGTACTTTAAGCCACTATAGGTGTAAGGTGTGTTATTTATCTGTTATTGGTGTTGCTTTTAACTCTTAGCAATTAACAGACTTGAAATTCATTTGGAAGAGAAAAAAGTGTGTATATATACATACATATAAACATGTATGTATATATACACATATGTGAAAGCATGGCCTTTAAGGAAAGGATGAAGAGATGGAGTTAGTTTAATGACAAGGTGGCTGAGGTATGCCTTAATAAATGTCTTAAAGTATGAAATATTATACTGTGTGTGTTAAACATTTTTTAATTATAGAAGAGTCCTGAACTACCGTATTTGCCGGCGTATAAGACGATTTTTTGGCCCTGAAAAATATGCCTCCAAGTGGGGGGTC